CTCAAAAAAAAAAAAAAACAAAAAAAAAAAAAACACACTAGGCACCTGCATGCGTGTGCCCAGGATCCCAAGAGGAGAATGGAAGAGAAAAGACTGCTGTTTGGCCATTCCCTTTGCATAATTTCTCACTTTCCCTCTCTCTGTCTCTCTCTGGTGAGAGCATGTACCCTACGGCAAAAAGCTATTAAAAAAAACCCCTGCATTGGAATCTTGAATGCAGTGTGTATGAGATAATAGGAACAGAGACTATTTGTGTATTTGTTATAGCTCTTTCCGGAATAAGCAACAGAAACTCAATTCCAATTGGTTTAAATTAAAAGGAAAAAGAATATTTATTGACTCAATTTAAAAACCCTGGAGTTTATTGTTCAAGCATATCACATACTCAGAAAATGTGTATATCTTTTTTTTTTTTTTTTTAATTTCTTGGTTCTACTTTCTTCTTTATTGTCTTCATTCTCATTTGTACTTTTTCCTTAAGGCAAGAGATTTTCTAACAGCCCCAGTTAAGGAGAGATTCTCTTTCCCAGTCTAGTCAATATTGAAGGGCTATAGCATGTTGGCCTAGCTCAGGTCATCTGTCCATCCATGATCAATTCATGTGGTGGGGTGGTGATATGGTCTGATAATCTGGTCCCTGGAGTTGTGGGTGTGGTCAGTTTTGGTCAAATCACATAGACCAAGAATGGAGGAAAGTAGTTTTCTGAGAGAAAAAAATATGGGGTCACCAAAAGAGACAGGAATGGCAGCAGAGTGATAAAAGCTTAACAAATGTCCCCCTTAATCTACCTAATTTATTATTTGTATTTTCTGTTCATTTCAGGATAGTGTTGAGTTTAGAAACATCTGCAGTCATTTGGCTCTACAAATTGAAGGACAGCAGTTTGACAGAGATTTGAATGCTGCTCACCAGTGTTTGAAGACAATTGTCAAGAAGCTGATTCAGTCACTTGCAAATCTTCCTTCAGATGCCCATGTGGTAGCCTGTGCTTCCTTGAGACAGATCTTACAGAATCTCCCAGACATTTGAGAGTTCAGGATGTCTGGATTGAAACCACAGCTAGCACTGTTAAGACAACAGGATACCTTATCTTTCTAACTGAACCGGTAGACAATGGATGTTTTTATTCCTGATGAGAAGAGACTTTGATACCACATGCAGCAATTTGACCAGTGGCTGTAGCCTTCAGAATTATAGTATGTTAGTGAAAAAAAGCAGTAGTTCGCATTTTTAAGTATGTTGACCTATTTGCTGACTTTTTAATTAAAATAAACACCATTTTGTGGAACTGATTGGATTATATATGTATATGTTTATTAATTCATATTAGTTGTGATCAAATAAGTCCTTAATCTATATTCTTATTGATGTAGGCCCATAAGGTTTAATACAGTTCTTTATATGGCTGAATCTCCAAGTTCTTCACATTATCTAGAATAAATGAGATATTTGATAATCAATAGGTTCTACTTACCAGGCACTTCATTTTATGTCGTGAGAATGAGCTTTAGTTGTAGGACCACATATGTCAGTAATTATGAGTTTCAATTCTGGCATAATAACTTACTGTTGGGCAAGAAAAGAATTGCTCCTTAATCGTGTGCTTTCAAATACTGATTTATGAATTAAAAATGATAATAAGCTCTGAAGTACCAAGGACATGTGGTATGTAAATAAAAGTACAGTATTATTAAAGTCTCATGTGGAAACATCTAGCTCTTCTTACTGTTTATCAATATCCCAAGTAGAACATTCTTGTGAAGAAATAAAGAGAGTGGATATACTGGTACATTTCCTTAAATATTTATAGCTGGGAAAAGAGGGTGATTTTTTTTTTTTAAGAACAATCTGCACATACTTATGAAAAACTAAATTTCCTGTTGTTCAATGATGACTGTCTTGAGAACAAAAGTAACATGAAATGTTTTTCCCTTAAAATTTTAATAGAAACAGTATTAGATTTAGAGAAAAAAAGAGATTACAGTGTGTATGTGCAGGCCTGTTTTCAAAAAGAATTATAAATCAGGTCTCTGTGGTAAGAGTATATATACTATTAAAACAAATACATGTTAATAGTAATCAAAGCCTTTTGCTTCCACCTATTCCAAATCCTAGTTGGTTCCAAATGTTTTCCTCCAGAGTCTGAGAATGAAGATAAATATATTGCTTCTCTTTAGGTACAACTGACCATTCCCAAAGAAAAGAATTAAGTGTATGAGACTGAATTCTAAAGAAAAGATGAAAGCTGTGTGTGTGTGTGTGTGTGTGTGTGTGTGTGTGCGCGCGCGCACGCGCGCCTATCTGTGTATTGTTGGGTGAGTGGTATGGGCCAGAAATGAAGGAATTTATTTCTTAGGAACAATTTTTTGGCTGCTGTTGTTCTCACTCCTAGGAAACATTGTATTCTGAGGGGATGACTATTTTATGATGAGGTCTTCTCTCAGGGAAATGATTCCAGTACTCTTTTTATTATCTTTTAAAGAATAATTTTATTTAACTTTATTTATTTATTTATTTATTTATTTATTTATTTATTTAAAATTCAATCAGAGAGGGACAGAGTGAGAGTGAGACTGAGAGAAAGTGAGAAAGCAAGCTGCCAAGTCTGGTACTGAACTGCGGTTGGCCATGTGGGAGTACAAGGACCTTAACCACCACACCACCTGCTGGCCTCAGCCCAGTACTCTCTTTAAAGACCTATCATTACTTACAGGCTGCCTGTGTAATTTCATTTACTAGTTCTCTTAATGAATGTGAAGAAATTGTTTTTAGTCTTACTCTAAAAAATATTGAACACTTTTACTTTTTTTTTTACCTGTGCTCGGACTTTTTCTTCACCTTGGACCATGTTCCCCATAGACTGATTAAATTCCTACCCGTCCTTCACCATCCCCTCCATGAACTCACATTCTAGTTGGAGGAGGACTCTTTCTCTTCTCCACTTGCCGAGAACACATTTGGTGCTACAGGCATTTGCGCTTCTGGTATTTAGCATACTGTGATGGTCAATTTTAAAGGTCAACTGGACAGAATTAAGGAATACCCAGAGAGCTGGTAAATCATTACTTCTGGGTGTGTCTGAGGATAATTCAAGAGGAGATTGGCCTATGAGCTGGTGAACAGAGTGGAGAAGATCTGCCTTCAATGTGAGAGGGCACCATCCAATAGGCTGGGGCTTGAATAAATTAAAAAGACACTCTTTTGCTCAGGCCCATGGTATCAGCAGGATGGGCATATGTCACAGTCTTCATGCCAGGAAGCTCTGTAGTCACCAACAGGACCAGAAATGGCATGATAAACAGTACAAGAAAGTCCATTTGAGTATAGCCTTGAAGGCCAACCCTTTTGGAGGTTCTTCACATGTAAAGGGAATTGTGCTGGAAAAAGTAGGGGTTGAAGCCAAACAACCAAATTCTGACATCAGAAGTGTGTCAGGGTCCAGATGATCAAGAATGGCCAGAAGATCACAGCTTTTGTACCCAATGATGGTTGCTTGAACTTTATTGAGGAAAACAATGAAGTTTTGATTGCTGGATTTAGTTGAAAAGGTCATTCTGTTGGTGGCATTTCTGGATTATGATTTAAGGTTGTCAAAGTAGCCAGTGTCTCCTTTTGATTCTATACAAAGGCAAGAAGAAAAGACTAAGATCATAGATTTTGATGGTGAAAACAAAAAGTAATACATTTTCATAAAAGAAATGTTATACGCTGTAAAGACATATATGATTAAATGTAATATAAAATTAATTAATTAATTAAAAAATTTTTTGTATGCCAGAAAAAAAGATAGAAGAAAGAGCTCTCTTTCACCATTAGAGTTGTGATGTCCTGTTTCTTCCCCTGATCATCAGAACTCATATTCTTTGGCCTTTGGTGTCCGAAACTTGCAGCAGCAGCTTCTCAGGCTCTGAGGCCTTTACCTTAGAACAAGAGTTGTACCATAGGCTTCCCTGAATTTGAAGCTTTCAGACTTGGACTGAGCCATGCTACCAGCAACCCCATTCCCAGCTTTCAGTGGCCTATTGTGAAACTTCTCAGCTTCTATAATCACATGAGCCAATATCCCTTCTCATCTCAGTTTATCAATCTATCATCTATCTGTCTATCTACCTATCATTCTATCTCTACCCCTGTCTATATCTATTCATCCATCCATCCTATGATTCTGTCTTTCTGGAACCCTAACACTCAGACTACCTCAACAGAATGGCTTTTGGAATATCTGTGGTCAAGATCAGCTTGATGAGGGCAGGAATTATCTAGACATCTTTGTTGATTACACAGCATCTACTGGGCTTAAAGTTTATTGATTCTAATAGAACTTCCATTGCCTTTACGACCTTTCCACACCTCTCCTCTAACCCATTCTAACTTCTGTGGTTTATGTCAACCTATATAATCACTTGGTTATATGAGCTGCCAGTTCCCTTTGCCCTTTTTTCCTTTGGTTGAATGCTGCTTGCAATATTCCATTCCTGGTCAAGACCAAACTTCTGCCCACTTCACATCTACATATGAATTCCGTATGTGGCTAGAAAAAAACACACAGCCATGGCAATCTCACTTCAACTTGTGGTCCCAATGTCTAGGGACCTTCAAGGTTCTTCATTAGTCCCACTTCATTTCCTAGACCTGTGGTGTCTAGTTTGGTAGACACTGGCCACCTGTGGCTATTGAGCACTTGAAATATGGCTTGTCTAAATGGAGATGTGCTAAAAACATGAAATGCACACTGACTTTGAAAAACAGTACTAAAAAAAGAACCTAAAATATCAACATTTAAAAATACTGATTATATGTTAGAATGTTAATATTTCAAATCTACTGGGTTAAATAAAATGTATCATTAAAATTAATTGTATCTTTTTTTTAACATTTCAATATGGCTACTAGAAAGTTTAAAATCATCCCTTAATTCTTGAGATAAGGTGATTCTAGAACATTCCCTAGACAGTTTATTGCTGACTTTGACAATTCACTCTCTGAAGATTGTTTTATACCTTTTAAAACTTTGCCCTTCTCGTCCCTCTTCATTCTCAGCTGGTGCTCCTGCTCCAGATTGCCCATGGAAAAATGAAAGCCATCAGAAGCACACATGCTCATCAACTCACTAGATCTACTGAGCCTTTATCTGTGCCTATGTGAACTCTGATTTCTCTTTTATGACAAAGACCTGCCTCGCTCCTACACAAAGGTAGTTGGTCACTCAGACCCTGGGCCCTGACCCATCTCTCTCACTCACTGACTTCCCTTTTGCACTCATGCCTTTGCCTACATGATCAATTTTTGCCTTTCAATAGGAGTATGCCATCAACATGATATTATAATAGCTCTACTCAAAAAAATTTCTTCAGCTACTATTCTATTTCTCTGCTCTCCTTAATAACAAAATTCATTCCAATAATTGTCCAAATTAGTCATCTACAATTTCTTCTTTCCCCATTTACTTTTGAACTCTCTTCAAATGAATTTTGTGTCCATAACTTCATTAGAATTGCTCTTTTCAGGACCTCTGATGGACTGCCACTCTGACAAATTCACCAGCAAATTTTTAGTCCTCCTCTTATTTGATCTGTCAGCAACTTTTGACACAGTTTATTACTCTATCCTTGAATCACTTTCTTACTCTGCTTGCAGGTCAGTAGAATTTCATAGATTTATATCTTTACTGGCTAACTTTTGAGACCTTTGTCCTGGATCATTCACATCCCATGATTTCTCAACTTTAGAATGCTTCTGGAGCAGGGACCAGCAGTTGGCATAATGGCTATGATGCTGGACTCCCATGTGGTCGACCATGGTTTGAATCCTGTACCTGGTGCCTTAAGCCCACACTGGGCACGTGTGCGTGCATGCCCGAGATCCCAAGAGGAGAATGGAGAAGAAGGGTTGTGGCATGGCCATCCCCCCTGGGGAGTGATTTCTTGCTTTCTGTTTCTCTGTCTCTCTGTCTTTCTGGCGAGCGCATGTGCCCTATAGCAAAAACTTCTTAAGAAAAAAAAAAAAGAATGCTTCTGGTGCTAACTTGGGTCCTCTTCTCTAACTACACTTACTCTTTCTTGATTTTAAATACCAGCTACTCACCAAAGACAAAGATATAAGTCTTGTGTTCTAAATTCTGGATACCACGTCTAACTGAGTACTAGAAAAATGTGTTATATCCTAG